CTCTTGCCGAGTTTGCAAGATCTCTTCTTGTTATTCCTAATGCTCTAGCAGTTAATGCTGCCCAAGACTCCACAGATCGGGCTGCAAAATTGAGAGCTTTTCACAGTGAGGCTCAGAACGCAAAAATCTAAAATGGCTCGGTCTTGACTTGGTCAGTGGTAAACCCTGAGACAACAAACAAGCAGGGGTGTAGGAACCAACCATAGACAAAGTTAAGAGTTTGAAATTTGCAACTGAAGCTGCAATTACCATTCTTCGAATTGATCTTATTAAATTACACCCAGAAGGCAAAGATGATAAGCATGGAGGTTATGAAGCTGCTGTTCACTCTGGAGCCCTTGATGACTGATCTGATTTCTTTTATTTATAACAATGTTAGATGCAATTTTCTTTTTTTTTTTTTTTTTTGTGGTACGCGAGCCTCTCACTGTTGTGGCCTCTCCCGTTGCGGAGCACAGGCTCCGGACGTGTAGGCTCAGCGGCCATGGCTCACGGGCCCAGCCGCTTCACGGCATGTGGGATCTTCCCGGACCGGGGCACGAACCCTTGTCCCCTGCATCGGCAGGCGGACTCCCAACCACTGCGCCACCAGGGAAGCCCCTTAGATGCAGTTTTCTTGTACCTCGGGTATTACACGTCAAAAAATAAATACAAGTAGCTCAATTTTCAAATTTATTAAAATGATTCACTGGAAATATCAGAGAAAATATGCTAAATTAAAATTTTAAGGAATTCTTACAGGTCACATGATTTCTATTGAGATACCAAATGATGGTGTGTGTTGTATAATGAGACTGGCCGCCTGCCCTTCCTGGTGAGGGTATGAGGCAATGAAAGAGAACTAGACTCTTTCTAGGTCAGCCTCTGCCTGGGAGAGGAGCTGGGACAAGTTATTTCACCGTCTGCCGTCGACTTCTTCATCCATGAAAAGACAGTCAGTCTCACACTGCTCACAGGTGATTGGGAGCCTGATGAAACCCATGTTCCAGCCAGATCTAAACCGTCGCAAAACCCCTGGGAAGCTCCTCTGTGGCTTTTCTTGCAGCCAGGATTGTTCATTAACAAAACATTCGCAGCTGATAAGATGTTCGAAACAGTATTTACAGATTTTAAGGTTTTCAAAATAGAGATAAATATATAACAATAAATTTCTATGCACTATGACTTAAAATAAGCTAATACCATGAGAGTTAGTAGCCAACTCACAAATATTTGGGGGCTACACTTTAGCTTCCTTCAAACTGTATCTGTGATGTGAAATAATTGCATTTATTTATTGCCAAGCTAATATGCTCCTTCCTCCTGCACATAGAAATATTTTCCTTTAAATATTTGGAGCAGGGGTGTATACACTTCTGAGCCTTTTAACAAATGATCATTAACATTGATCTATGTTATTAATCATTTCTTCACAGATTGTTTTATTGGCCACAGAGTATTCCATCATCTAAATGGGCCATGATTATTTAACTAGTCCCAACTATTGGACCCTTAGGTCAGCACTGATTTTTCATGATTATAATTAACCTATGACAAACATTCTTATATAAAAAATGTTGTACATGTCTCTGATAAATTCCTTAGGAGTAGAATATCTGGGTCAAAGGGAATGGATGACTTTAAGGTTTTTGGAAGATATTGCCAAGCCAATTTACACTCTTCTCAATGAGTATTAAGGGGCTGGGCTCCCTTTTTTTTTTTTTTTTTTTTTTGTCCTCACCAATATTGGGTTTTGTCACTTAAAAAAATCTTTAAAATTTGAGAGACAGTAAGTGTTAGAAAATATCTGTCTCATATCTTTTTCTGTTTTAATAAGTACAGTATGTAGAACATAAGAGTCTTGACTAGGCTCAGTTGTGGTTCTGAGGCGCATATTTCTGTGTACTGCTCCGTGGAGGTGGTCTGATGAGTTATAGTATGCAGGTTGTACCTAAAGAAAGCTTCGTGACTCAGAACAAACCCTGTGTTGAAGAGTTAACAGTGAGGAGGCTTGGGTTCTGGTTTTAACCAGCCGCGTTTCCTTAGGCAAGTGTTATATCCTTAGGCATTTACCTTAAATACCTCAGAGGAGCCAGTAGTATGCTTGTCTGTGTGTGCAAGGTAACTTGAGTCTGTGTCCTGAGGAGTCTCCCTCTAGAGGCCATGACAGCAAGCACTTTGAACATTGCCTTCTCAATCAGTACCAGAGGGCTAATTTATTAGCAGAAGAAATGTCAGAAATAATTCTTAATTGGTGAAATGGATGATGTGCAAGATATGAAGCTGACAAGTAAGATTGTACAAGTGTCTGTCTGCCTTTTTTTTGAACAATGTAAGAAGTAAGCTCTGTAGCTACATGTTTCTGGGTTACGCCCTGTCGAGAACTACATGCATTCCAAAATCTTACACTTAACTCACGATTTAGTTGCTTGATCTAGCTAGAGGGGTAGCTGATTAGGTCATTATAATTTAGGTGCTCTTGTCCCAGAGAGAAACTTTCCTGAGAAGGTTCCTGTAGGGTGCCAGAGTGGATGGGAGGGGGCACCCCGCTGAGCTTCTAGAAACATGTTTTGGACTCCTGTGGTGTCTTTCTTATGTCAGAATTTAATTGTAACATAACATCTGGTCGTGTGGTTGTAGGGAGGGACACCTATCACTTCTGACTTAACCTGTTTGAAATATTTTCCTCACATGACTCACAGGAAATGGACTTAATTATTTCTGACTTCCCAACTAGTTCTAAAAGTTCTAGATTATGTGTATAAAGAATGTTGCATTAGATTCAGATGACCTGGCATCTTCATCCAATAGCAAGGGAATATTATTTATAATATTTAATGTTAATTATTTATTTTTTGGTTGCATTGGGTCTTCGTTGCTGTAAGCAGGCTTTCTCTAGTTGAGGTGAGCACGGGCTACTCTTCGTTGCAGTATGTGGGCTTCTCACTGCAGTGTCTTCTGTTGTTGCAGACCATGGGGTCTAGATGAGCGGGCTTCAGTAGCTGTGGCATGCAGGCTCAGTAGTTGTGGCTCGCAGGCTCTAGAGCACAGGCTGAGTAGTTGTGGCTCATGGGCTTAGTTGCTCCACGGCATGTGGGATCTTCCCAGACCAGGGCTCGAACCTGTGTCCCCTGCACTGGCAGGTGGATTCTTAACCATTGCACCACCAGGGAAGCCCTTAATATTAATTTTAATAATACTTAATAGAAGGAGATGAAAAGGAAAATTGAAGTGCAGAGAGATTAAATAGATGAGCCAAGTCCTTCTTTGCTCCAAAATTCATGCTCTTTCTCCTGTAATACCTGATACCCTTTGGTTATAGATCGAATTGTGTTCCCCCCTTTAAAGTCTTATGTTGAAACCCTAACCCTTAATGTAACTGTATTTGTACATAGGGCCTTTCAAGAACTAATTAAGGTTAAATGAGGTCATCAGTGTGGGGCCCTAATCCAATATGACCAGTGTCCTTATAAGAAGAGGAAGAGACACCAGGGATGCACATACCCAGAGGTAAGATCACATGAGGACACAGTGAGAAGGTGGCATCTGCAACCAAGGAGAGAGGCCTCAGGAGACACCAAACTTGCCAACACGTTGATCTTGGACTTGCAGCCTCCAGAACTGTGAGGGAATAAATTTCTGTTGTTCAAGCCACCCAGTCTGTGATATTTTTTTATGGCAGCCCTAGTAGACTGATATACCCTTAACTCTCTGGAGATGGGGCAGAAAGATACTAAAGAGGATGATTTTGGTGAGCCTCATGCTGAGAAAAGAACAAAAGTGGCAGGCGAAGGGATTTTCTGAAAGGAATCAGCGACGACAATATTCTGAGATTATGGAGTTTTGTAACCTACGTATGTATATATTTTCCCTCTGCTCCCAAGGAGGCTCCCAAGGCAGTAGCCCAAGGAGGTGCACCCAGGACCTGTGAGGACCACGGGGAGTGTTGGGTGGCTGGGGATGGGGGAGAGGAAACTAAATAAAGGGAGCCCTCTTAGCAAGTTTCACCTACTTAACAATTTTGCGTTGGGTGGAGCTGAACTAATTTTTTTGTTGTTTGTTTGTTTTTGTTTTGCGGTATGCTGGCCTCTCACTGTCGCGGCCTCTCCCGTTGCGGAGCACAGGCTCCAGACGCGCAGGCTCAGCGGCCATGGCTCACAGGCCCAGCCGCTCCGCGGCATGTGGGATCTTCCCGGGCCGGGGCACGAACCCGTGTCCCCTGCATCGGCAGGTGGACTCTCAACCACTGCGCCACCAGGGAAGCCCGAGCTGAACAAATTTTAACCTTACATGGTAATGCCAACGAGGAAAGAAACCAGAACTAGGAAGCCAAGCAGTTTCTCAGCACTGTCTGTCTCCTTACCCATCTTTTCCCTGGGAGCCCTACAGCAGGAAGAGTTTGGTTGACACTGCTATGAAATCAACATAGAAACTAAGTGCAGTCCATAACCATGGAAATGAGGTTTGCTTCTGATAAACCAAAATGCTCATAGAAGTGAAATGCACTGTCAGCAGATCCATTACCAAGAAGTGTCTTGGGTAATGACACTCTGATGCATCAGTCAAGGCATGATGGTGCTTTTCCTGGCTCTATCCAAGTGCCTGTCTCTCTCCACGAGAAAAGTATCCACTCCTCATGTCTGCTCTGTAGACAGGGAAGGGAGGAGGAGAACTAAGCAATTACTTTGGAAATGGCCCCCAAAGGTAAAGAACCTCTGTTCTCAGGAGCAGCTAGCCATTTGGCTCCGGGTGATTTAACACCAATTGACTTGAGAGATTTTTAAGATTCCTTCCAGCACTTTGGTTTTGTGCCCCTAATTTCTAAGGAAAATGTTCACTGATGCACAGACCTCACTTCTAATTTGATGTGATGCCAGTTTGTGAAGTTATACCTGCTGTTGGACACACAGCCTTATGTGCCTTCCATGATGGTGATTTTTTTTAAAACCCCAGACCTAAACACAGCTGTTGGTATTGAAATCAGTTTTAGTTCATCTCACTTTCTATCTGTTCAATTACAGGTAACCTTTAGATGGTGGAAGATCTCTCTGAGGAGTGAGTATAGATCAACAAAACCTGGAGAAACAAAAGAAACTCATGAAGACTTCCTAAGGAACTCACATCTTCAGGGTAAGGAAGAGGACATATTATGTATACTTGCTGCTCTTAAGTTCTCTTTAGTTAGTGACAGATTTTGTCAGTGAAGTATCCAGTATCTCATCATTTGAAATGATAGGTAATTATGTACTTAATTGGATATAACAGATATGATAGAACATTGGGATCTTAAAAGGCAGAAAATTGTTAACATATCCTGAAATTTCTTTTGGGAAAAAATCTTTAAGCATTTAAGTTTCCAGGTTAACGTGTAGATTTCATTAATAGTCTTAAATCATGTAGTAAATATAAATTTTTAACTCAATATTTAATTAAAACGGGTTTCCTTTAGTTAAAAATAAGTTAAAAGATTATTCAATGATGGCTGTAAAGCAATTACACTCCAATAAAGATGTTAAAAAAAAGATTATTTAAAAACATAATCAAATTATGAGACTTCCCTGGTGGCGCAGTGGTTAAGAATCCACCTGCCAAAGCCTGGGACATGGGTTTGAGCCCTGGTCTGGGAAGATCCCACATGCCGTGGAGCAACTAAGCCCGTGCACCACAACTACTGAGCCTGTGCTCTAGAGCCTGCGAACCACAACTACTGATCCGGCGTGCCACCACTACTGAAGGCTGTGCTCCGCAACAAGAGAAGCCACCGCAGGGAGAAGCCCACACACCACAACGAAGAATAGTCCGCACTCGCCACAACTAGAGAAAGCCCAGGCACGTAGCAACGACGACCCAACGCAGCCAAATAAATTAATTAATTAATTAAAAAATTCAAATTATCAATTGTTTGAATTCTTATGCATTTTGGCATTCATTTAAAATCTCTACCATTTCTTTTAATATCAAGGTTTTCATGAGAAGCAGTCTTAATCAAGTAGCATTTGGACTTAATAATAGAAATTGCCCTTCAATTTCCCCTTTGTTTTTTTCTTTCTCAATGTGAAGATTTCAAACATAAAGTGTAGACAGAATGTTTTTTTAAAAAACTCCCATGTACCCATAACCCAGTTCAATAATACTCAAAATGTGGCCAAAAATGTACACAGACCTACTGTTCTCACTGGATTTTGAAGTGAATCTCAGTTGCTGCATCACTTCATCCTAAACTATTTCAGTATGTGTCTCTGAAAGGACTCTCTTTAAACTCTTCAATAATTATTCCTTAATAATAAGCTTTTAAAGCTAGAAGGCACTTTAGAGATCCTTATTTTATTATGAGTAATTAACAATGTTATTACTATTAATATCAGGGCTTCCCTGGTGGCGTAGTGGTTGGGAGTCCGCCTGCCAATGCAGGGGACACGGGTTTGTGCCCCGATCCGGGAGGATCCCGCATGCGGTGGAGCGGCTGGGCCCGTGAGCCATGGCCGCTGAGCCTGCGCGTCCGGAGCCTGTGCTCCGCAACGGGAGAGGCCACAACGGTGAGAGGCCTGCGTACCGCAAAAAAAAAATAATAATAATAATATCAAGCACTTTCATATACATGTTCTCATTTTGCTATTATAATATTCTTGTGTAATAAATAGTATTATTCCTTTTTCTCAAATGAGATTCAGAATGGATGTGACTTTCCCAGGTCCCACAGCTAACTACTGACATTGCCAGGCCTAAGCATTGAGAATAGAAAAAAAAAAATCTTATTTTAATTTCATTTTATTTATTTATTTTTTGTTTGTTTTTTAAAAATATTTATTTATTTACTTTTGGCTGCGTTGGGTCTTAGTTGCGGCACACGGCATCTTTCGCTGCAGTGTGCAGGCTTCTCTCTAGTTGTGGTGTGTGGGCTCAGTAGTTGCAGCATGTGGGCTTAGTTGCCCCGCAGCATGTGAGATCTTAGTTCCCTGACCAGGGATCAAACCCACATCCCCTTAATTGGAAGGTGGATTCTTAACCACTGGACCACCAGGGAAGTCCTCCCAAAATCTTACTTTTATTTTTTATTTATTTATTTTTAAAATAAATAAATTTATTTATTTATTTTTGGCTGCGTTGGGTCTTCATTGCTGTGCGCGGGCTTTTTCTAGTTGCAGCGAGCGGGGGCTACTCTTTGTTGTGGCACGTGGGCTTCTCATTGTGCTGGCTTCTCTTGTTGCAGAGCACAGGCTCTAGGCACGTGGGCTTCAGTAGTTGTGGCACACGGGCTGAGTAGTTGTGGCTCACGGACTCTAGAGTGCAGGCTCAGTAGTTGTGGCGCATGGGCTTAGTTGCTCCACGGCATGTGGAATCTTCCTGGACCAGGGCTCAAACCCGTGTCCCCTACATTGGCAGGCGGATTCTCAACCACTGCGCCTCCAGGGAAGTCCAACATCTTACTTTTAAAAGGCACGCTCTGGGTGGATCTTTGATAATCAGTGTTGTTAAAGACTTTCTCTTATTTAACACTATAGCATGTAATAGTTGGTTTTTAAGAGAGAGAGTAGGTTTGGTTTGGTTTTACTTCCTTAAATAGTTAAACATCTGGATTGATTGCACTCAGGTTTTGATACTATACACATCTTATTTTGTTAACTCCTTTATAGAAAGTATTTATAAAATTCATTATTGGCTTGAAAAGAACCATGTTGAAGAAAGACTGCCCACTTTTCATTGAATAAAAATCAGTCTAGGCAGGCCTTACTTATTTAATTGTGGGATAGACAGGTTTCTGCCCAGATAACTATAAAGTAAACTTCTATAAAACACATTTTGTTTTCAAGTTAGGTTCCGTTTTATTTTCTAAGCACAACAGTACCTAATCCAGAGCTATATGCCTAGGGAGTGCTGAATATTTGTTGACAGACCATGGGATTTTTCTGATTGACTTCAACAAAAACCTGGAGATGTGGGTTTGGGCCAGAGAGATGGGAGGTGATCGTCTCTTGAGTAGAGGCTTAAGGGCCAACACCTGTCTCTTGCGTCTCTGACACCCTTGCCCCCTAACAAAACACTGACGGTGAGGGTGGGGCAACATCAGCTTCAGGATGACCACTTGTGGGTTTCCTGATCCCGGAAGAATAAACAAGAAAGCGGGAATTTATGAGTCTGACAGAGAGTCTGCTGGCTCCCCACCCGCATGGAGAGAGGAGAGTTGCGGAATTCAGTGGAGGAATACACCCAAACAGGCTTTTAAAATTGCAGTTTTGAGAGCTGCAGTCTCGCGCCAGGAACAGCACAGAGATACCAAATTAAATTGGCCTGGCAAGTTCAAAGGCATCTGCGTCTCACTTTGTAGCCTTCCTACAGCACTGGAGTCTTGGCAGAGGGAAAAACTCCAACCAACACTGTTGTTCTTCCTTCTCTTCCCCCTCAGTTCTTAGGGAATCCCTCAGAAAGCCCAGAAGAGGGGTGCGCTGTGGCACAGAGCGGGGCTCAGGGGTTAGAATTAGGTTTTCATGAGAAGCAGTCTTAATCAAGTAGCATTTGGACTTAATAATAGAAATTGCCCTTCAATTTCCCCTTTGTTTTTTTCTTTCTCAATGTGAAGATTTCAAACATAAAGTGTAGACAGAATGTTTTTTTAAAAAACTCCCATGTACCCATAACCCAGTTCAATAATACTCAAAATGTGGCCAAAAATGTACACAGACCTACTGTTCTCAGGGCCAGGTTAGAATCTCTGCTGCCTCTGCCGGGTTCTGTAACCCCCTCCGTGAGCCCATTTCCTCCTCATATCTGAGGGTCAAATGCTTACTCGATGTGGTCGCTTTGAGCTTTCAATGACCTGACACATGAAAGGTATTTAGAAAGGCGCACAATAGAGAATCAGCTCTTAATCGTTGTTTGCTGTTATTAAGTTTAGGATGTTTGGATTTATTTTGCCCCACCCCCTACTTATCATATTCCCAAGATCCCCCCAAAGTTTTTTCATCCAAAGTCTTCTCTTGCTAACATCCTAAACACTAGCAGCACGTTTCTAGAAATCCGGGTCAGCCTTGGTGTCAGTCCTGACAGAGGACAAGAACCGTGTTCTCTTGCTTCCTTGGCCTCTCAGCAACACTAATTCAGGGGTGACGTTTTCTTCCCTGGCTTCCGGGAGCACCTCGGTCTTGGTCCTCCTCTTGCCTCACCGGCGTCTTCTTGGTCTCCTTGCTGGGTCCTTCTCATATCTCCAGATCTAAATGTTGGGGCCCAGGGTTCAGCTCTAGTGCCTCTTCTTTTGTCAGTCTGTACTTACCCCCTGGGGAATCGGATCCAGTGTCTGGCTTTAAATGCTGCCCATAAGGGGATGAGTCCCACATTGGTATCTCCAGCCTGCACCTCTCCCCGGAACTCCACACTCAGATATTTGTCTAGCTGCCCCCTTGGTATCTGCACTAATGTGTCTAACAGGCTCTCAAAGGTAACGTGTCCAAAAATAGCTCCTGATCCTTCCTCTGCCAAAAAATAAGGCCCCAAATCCTAGAGGTATCCTTGGTTCCTTTCTTTCTCTTACATGTTCGATCTAATCCTTCAACAAAACCAGAATCTGAACTGTGTTCCTCTGTGTGCATGCCCCTCCCTGGGGTCTCTCTGTGTGTCTGAATTTCCTCTTCTCATAAGAATACTAGTCATGGGACTTCCCTGGTGGTCCAGCAGCTAAGACTCTACGCTCCAAATGCAGGGGCCCCGGGTTCCATCCCTGGTCAGGGAACTAGATCCCATATGCCACAACTGAGAGTTTGCATGCCAAAACTAAGACCAGGCACAGCCAAATAAATAAATATATATTTTTTAAAGAGTACTAGTCAGGGCTTCCCTGGTGGCGCAGTGGTTGAAAGTCCGCCTGCCGATGCAGGGGACATGGGTTCCTGCCCCGGTCCGGGAGGATCCCGCATGCCGCGGAGCGGCTGGGCCCGTGAGCCATGGCCGCTGAGCCTGCGCGTCCGGAGCCTGTGCTCTGCAACGGGAGAGGCCACAACAGTGAGAGGCCCGCATACCGCAAAAAAAAAAAAAAAAAAAAAGTACTTGTCAGATTGGATTAGAGCCCACCTATATGACCTAATTTAACCTAATTACCTCTTTATTTATTTTATTTTATTTTATTTTTTTAGTGTTTC